TAACCTCTGCCCCCTGCCCAGCAGGCAGCCGGGGGGCCGGGGGCGCCCGTTTTCGGGGAGGAGGGGAAGTGGGCACTGCGGGCCGCCCCGGCTCACCTGGCATTGCCGCCTCCGCTGGTGCATCAGGGCTCGGGACAGCAGCTGCCATTCCTACAGGGATAGGCTGTCATGGCATGTGGGGACACCCCCCCTCAATGTCACCATCATATCCCTGCTGTCCCCAGTTCCTCCCGAATCCTTTCAGTGATCCCCAAATCCCCATCATCCTGAAAAACCACCCCTGTCCTACCCCAGGCGTCCTTGTCACCCCCAATGCCTTGTGTCCCCGGTGCTTCCATCAGCCCGATTACCCCGTTCCCCCACACTCCACTCTTCCACCACAGATTCTCCATCACCACTCAACACCCCATTCCCTCAATCTGCTCCAACAATCTCAATGTCTTGATACCCTAAACTTCCACATGTCACCCCAGATCTCTCCATCCCCTCCAATATCACATCCCACAAAAGGTCCCCCCTACCCCCTTACCACACCACCTCCTCCCTGGTCTCCCCACCCCATCACCCCCTGCCACCCCCAGTGCCCCATGTGCCGTCCAGGCAATCCCAGGCATCCTTTGGGGATGCCCCATTTATTATTGTAGGGTCTGTCCTCTCTGGCAAGAGCCAGGAGGGATGCAGGTGCCCACTCACGGCACTCCTGGAGGCGACGGTGACAGAGCCGGGCAGTGAGTGAGGCGCAGGAGTGCTGGGCCCCACCAGGTGGGCACAGGCGCTGGTAAGGGGCACAAGCCTGGCTGAGCACCCAGTTGCGTTCGGGCAGGTCAGGCAACGCCTGGGCATCCAGCAGGGCCTGGCAGCTGGGGGGCATGGCGGGGGGCATAGCTGGTGCTGCAAGGACAGCAGGGCTGTGGGCATCCCCATGTTCTTCCTGCCTCCTGCCCACCTCTCCACTTTGGAGTGGCTGGGAAGGGAGCATGATTGGGCTGTGGTGCTGGGATGTTTTGGTAGGGTCTCCAGGGGATAGGGCTGGGGGGCCCAGGGGGCCATAACTCACGTGGGCAGTTGGTGAGGTTGGTGCAGGGGGGGAAGAGGCAGGGGGCACAGAGCCCACAGGCCCCCTGCTGCAGCTGCTGCTCAGCCAGCGCCCGCTCCAGCGCCAGCAGTGCGCTCCTCAACGCTGCCTCCAGCACCAGTGTCCCCCGGCTCGACAGTGCTGCTGGGCACATGGAGGGGGTTCAGATCCCCTGTGCCCCCATCACAGCCCCCCACCATGACCACGAGGTGCCCCCAGCCCAGCAGGTGCCCATGCCCCAATATCTCCATGGTGGGAGTCAGGCTGGCCATAGCTTGTCAAACATTGGCATCACCGAAGTTGACAGGCACAACTGTCACCTCTCTGGTGAGGTTGGCACATGGGCACCTAGTGTGGAGAAGGTGTTTGCCCATGCCTGTGTGTGCCCACTCAGGGTGCACATGGAGTCCCTGTGAGCATGTGTGTGCAAGTGTGGGCAGGGAGCAGAGTATGAGGCTGGACAGATGTGCCTGTCTCTGTGCACACCTGTGCCTACACTGTGGGTGCACACTTGGGCGTGCCAGGATCTGTGTGCCCACATCTGCATGTCCCTGCCTGTGTCCATGTATGGGCAGTCCTATTCGTTTCTATTCCTGTGTCCACCTGTACCCACCCACAGCCACCCTCCTGCTGGCTGTGCCCCACCAGAGGGTGCCCCAGGACTGGCACAGGTACCCGGTAGAGCTGACAGCCAAAGGACGTGAACCACACAGATCCCTGCAACCTCGGTGTCCCCGAATGCCACAGGCAGCACCTGCCACCCAGTCCAGGCAGCAAGAGCATGTCCCGGGGCTGGGGAGCTTTCCCAGGGACCCGGGCATCCTGCTTGCACTTTCCCCCGTTCCTGCGAGCAAATCCAGGAGTGCCGGCTCCTGCAGCTGCCTCCTT